TCCCCCTCCTCCGACGCCACACTCTCCCACATCCACTCCCTCCAATCCCAACTCAACGACTGGTCACCTACTTCCTCCGCCTCACCCGCCATGGCGGAAGGCCTGCTAACGATCTACCGCGGAGAAGGCCTAGAAGGGTTCTTGGACACAGCGTATGGTTTTGCGGCATTGGCGTATAGTGCTGTTGGGGATAAGGGGAAGGCGGTGGAGTATGCAAGGAAAGCACAGCAGGCGATTGAGTGGAAGGATGGGATATGGACGGAAAACTGGAAGATATGGGATGAGGTTATTGGGGATGTAGAGGGGCATTGGAGTTGGAGGAGGAGGGTTTAGGGGGGTTGAACGGCATTGAACATAGTGAAGAGAGTCGAGGTTTCCTTCTTGAGCGAACGTAAAAAGAGATATTAACAGGCAGGCTCGAGATAGTTATCTGGGTGGTTGAACTCGCGAGAACAGGTTGTGGACCAACCCAACCTACTAGACTCTATATAATAGAGTTTTTGACATAGAATCCTCACAAGAGGTAAAAAAAAAGAGCAAAAAGAGCAAAAAGAAAGGACTTTAATGGTCACTACGAGGGTCGAACTCGCGACCTTGGCGTTATTAGCACCACGCTCTAACCAACTGAGCTAAGCGACCGATGTTGTCTTGTAATTGGATGGAAAAAGTTGAAGATATAAAATTCTTGTAGTAGGCAGAATCTGGAGCCATCACGGGCAGCAACTTCGTAGCGGGGGCTTAGAGAAGTTTGCAGGAAGGTGGGGTACTCCAGACGGAAAGAGTTGGGAAGCAATTTTTCGCCTCGCGCATTCTTGCATAATTCCTCGTGTGTCCGAAGCAATGTTATTCTTTCTTCCAACCACGCAGACCGGGACATAACGGACAAGTCACCTTACTATTGTTCGCATTGTCCTTCTTGATCTTCAACGCCTGTCGTCACTACTCCCCGCGCGTACGCTTATTTCCTTTAAGATATGCGTATAGATTAGAAAGCGACCACTATACCTTCAATTTCACGGCTTTATCGCTAGTACGGTTAGCTACACATAGGTAGCATAGGAGATCCTTGTTGTTGACGGTCAAGTTAGTCCTGTCGATCCAGCTCTTTACGAAGCCCTGCTACTCTTCCTATATCCTACTCCTATCTCATTAACCTAAGTAATCTGGAGGATGTAATCAGGTGTGTAGGTAATCTTTCCACAGGCTGGGCACGAGTTACTTTGCCTCGAGAACGCCGGCGTTGAGCTCTTCCATACCACTGCCTTCTTCTTCGTCCGCGTTAGAGTCTTCAAGCAACTGCTCTGTTCGCAGGAGAGGCGCCTTGGATTTGGCCCCCGCCTTCGCGACGGAGACTCAAGCTGCCAGGGTTCGAAGGCGGCTTGCAAGCGTTGCAGAGAAAAGAGGTCCTTACCGCTGACGTGGGGATCCAGTACAGGCTGATTGAAGCAGACGCAGTGGTATCAATGAACGAAGATGTCGTTACATCGTACCCGGGAGATGTCAGTACGTTAACCTTGCTTGAACAAGACGGTGGAATCACTGCGAGTATCTCCCGGCTATGCTCTGAAGATGCCGTTCTGATTCCAGCAGGCATTGAAGCCGTGCAGGCCGCACCGAAAAGTACGGTAAAGTATGTTCCCGAAGTTCATTGGACGCCACCCGACTTGGAACGCCTCGTTTAACTCCCAGAATACCAATAAGTCGGTGGAGGCGTCAATCGATCGCATTGGGCAGAACCATTCCCATGTCCCGGGTTGAAGCGGAGCCCTGGGGTGATGCAATTGTATGGAACAACTTGTAAATTCGGTTCTGTCGCCTTCCCACCGCCGCGCTGGGCGCCTTGCTTGATATTGCATGTTACACAACCTTGGAAGCCTTGGAAGTAAGCTCAATTAAGCTCCTCGTCCAATCAACAAAGCGGTTCCTCAACTGCCCAGCCTGGCCAACGTTGGAAGGCTTACATGCTTCAATAACACAGCCCACTGCGCAACTTGGGGTATTGATCATGGACATTGCTGTTATCTTCTTTGTCGCGCGCGTTCCATGATCTTACCACCAAAACCTCCAAACGATTCCAAGATGGATAAAATTGTCAAGTGGCTACAAAAGCCTTCCAAAAGCGATCGCAAACATGCAACGCAACCGCTGCGATACCGTACCAAGTCGTTTTGGCTTCTCGGCTTCTATGTCTTACTTCTTGTTATTCCATGGGCGTTGACATGTGTGCTTGCGCAACGGCCGATAAACGCAAGATCGTATCTGCGACAGGAAGGCTTCACTGATGATCAGATCTCAACCATGCGCAATTGGAAGATCGCAGTTGATGTCCTGAATGCCATCGCTGGATTGATCACCAGTAAGTAACATATAATGCACCCTGTCGCTACTCATTGCTAATTGCGTGAATTACCTTCCAGTCCCAATTTTATCTGCGATTTTGGCGCAAGCAGCAGTGATATACTGTCAACGGCGCAAACCAGATGAGTTCCTGAGTCTTAAAGACATGTTTGCCATAGCAGATCGTGGGTGGACGAATCCATGGGTAGTCTGGAACTCGCTTCGAACCCGACCAGCAAAACTGCGAGCCCTGGGTAGAAAGACGAGGGCGAGGTTTCTGGTCCCTGCAGCCTGTCTCATCCTTCTCGGAGCCATACAACAGCCTCTATACCAGATTCTAGTAAGAGTCGGTACAGCAGCTGTAATCACGTGCGAGTGTGTTCCCGCTTGGCATACACACGGTACATGTCCCACATCTCCGGACCCTGGGTCTTTTCCGTCGGGCACCGAGCTGTATGAAGAGATCGGAAGAGACCTTGAGCCTGGAACTATGGCTATTGTGGAGCACCTTCCTATGCTGTCTCGGGTGATCTCAGGCCTAGCATCGCTGTCCGACGAGGAGTCACAGTTCCGAATGTGGAGTGTCGACGCGGCATACAAAGAAGCAGACAAGTGGTCAGGATGGGGGATCCCTGATGACTCATTGTTCCATTGGCTGTTCTGGCGAAGAACTCGCCTTGATACAGACCCTTATCCGGACTTCTTTGTGGCAGGCATTCCTAGGGGAACGACTACTGGAGTGCTACGCCAGCTATTCATGAGGCTTAATTCGTCGGTCGTGTGCGACGAGGTGGACCGAGATGATTTCCCATCACCATGTCCTGGTGATAAGCCTTTGACTGTGTTCTGGGAAGGCGTGTTTGAGAAGAATGTTCGCATATGCGTCCCTGGAAACTACACCGCCTTCCCGTGGACACCTAGTCGTGATCATCAGGATCTGGTTGAGGAGATATACATCAAAGTCAACCATACAAGAATTGCTCATCCGTATCGGCGCCAGGAAGAGCCGCTGTCCACGCTGTCCAATGCAAGCTATAGCATTCGTTGTACAGCAACGACGACGAGGGGCTATTTTGAACTCGCAAATTACCACAATAACAACACATATGGGCCACTACTCGAACAGTGGCCCGACACTGAACAGATGGCGGTGGCCTTCAACAACGGGAATTCTTGGCGATATTTGCGATGGGGGGCGACGCCTGATGCACCACCTCTATACGTCGACAACGATGACCCTTCAACCTGGAACGTACCGGGTCCTCTAATGACAAGTGCACTTGCGTTATTCGGAAGAGGCTCATGGCTAAGTTCGGCTGCCAACTATGTCTCGAACGCATCATCGAATGTCACCGGCCATAACGGAGATTACAAAGACGCTTCATGGCATCTATTTTGCCATGGGATGCCCTTCTTGAATCTTGGGTTGCTATTCGACAAAACAAACTTGAGCTCGCTCAACGAGGACTTGCACAAGAGGGAGTTAGTCCGCACGGGTGGCTTTGCGAATGCATGCGACTTAACTGATCAGGCCACACTCAATGGCGAAGAGGCACGAGAACGACATGTGCGGCTCGCTACGCAACATCTCCTTGCCGCTTTTGCTCCATCTGATGTAACTGAAACGTACATCAACCCGGAAACTATGCTAACTGCCGCAATGTTTGTCGCAAATGAAGCCTTTCTTACAACGCTTCTCTCTGAGGCTAAAGAAGAGCAGGCTCCCCCAGGGGGTCGCATAATATATACCTCTCCCGGTTTCGCTATGCAAAAGCCTTTCCTATCAAAGATGGCACTCATAGTACTTTCGCTTTCGATAGGTCTTCAATTAATCGGCCTGAGTTATCTGGCCTATTATATATATCGCGCCCCGACCTGGTCAGGCCAACTAGACGCCATGGCTATGGCGCGGATCGGAGCAAGTCTACACAGCCGCGGCGTACTTCCAGCCATCGGCCCAGTGAGCAAAGAGGATATCGCTGGTCTCAAGACTGTTGGGGGCTTGATTGGAGTTGTTGAGAAAAGCTCGCTTCGCAAAAGCTCAATCACTAGATTTGTGTTGCCCGCGCTCGTCACTGCAGGTGGCTTGGAAGTCGAGTCGCAATGGCTTCATCCGAGCGAGCGGACTCGTGGATGCTCAATCACCAGATCTGGGTCGCCCGAACTGGCTACTACGGATGAATCGGACGCCGAGCTGCAGCGGTTATATCTGGCTGACGAGGGTCGGGGAAGCTTCCGAGATAGCTCACGTCGCGAGAGCTCAACGAACAGATCTATGGAGATACAACGTATCAATTCGGCTGGCGAGCGTTGTCAAAGTTCTGAAGATACCTGTCCAGGTACAACCAAGAGCTCAGACGCCGAGTTCTCAGAGCTCACATCAACCGAAGAGCATCGCGGAAGCTTTGAAGACCCCAACATGGGCATTGAGCTCGGAATAGACGCCCCAGGACCAATCATTGCAGCCGATGTACCGCGCCAAAATCCATTTGCACCAGGCTTGAAGAGAGTTTGGAAAGCAGTTAAGCCGGCAAAACGTCCCCAAAATGGTAGATCAAGGAGGTTTTATGAACCCTTTTCCAGGTCAGCCAACCAAAACACGGGATTGCACCTATCGAATGAGACTAGCAATCGGACGTCTTCCAGTCCCTAGACTCGCAAGTTTATCTACGCCGCACCACCGGCCAAATTTTCTTCCCCTTAACACTCTTCCGCTCCATCCCCAGACTAACAAAGAACGCCACACTACTCGTCGCAATCGCCAATACAAAAGCCGTAACAATCACGTTATTATACCCCCGCAACACCCCCGGCAGTACATCCCCAGGAACAACACCCCTCAAATTCGTCGCCCCAGCACTCGCCACAATCCTCGCATCAAACCCGTCCGCATACCTCGGCACCTCCCTCGCCAACGTATTAACAAAGATATTCTGCGCAATACTTATGCTCAGCGCACCCCCCAGCGAATTAAAAAACATGACGCACGCATTCGCCGTAGGCATATCCTTCTCGTTCGTAACAACCTGCACAGCGACGAACGGGATTCGGACACCAGCTCCTGCGCCAATGCCAGCGAGGATCTGGTAGCCGATCCATTGGCCGGGCGGGGAGTGGACGGTGAGGGTGTAGAGCATGTCGGCGCCGATGGCGAAGATGGCGCTGCCGAACCACATGAAGGGGGCGTACCAGCCGACGAGGGTGATGAGGCCGCCGATGAGGATGGAGGAGGTGGTTATGCTGACGAGGTAGGCGATGGTGCGGATGCCGGATTCTTCGGCGGTGGTGCCTTTGATGGCTTGGAAGTAGAAGGGGAGGTAGAAGATGTGGCTGGTGGCGTGTTAGGGTCTTGCTTGTAGGAGTGGATGATGGATGGGGGTAGGACTTACGTGTACAGAGCCATGGATAGCAGTGTTGAATATAAGCAACTGACCAGCACTGTTCGCTGTGTGAACACTCGAACAGGTATCGTCGCGCGATCTCCCTTCCGTATCTGTAAGCCAATGAAGACAGAGATTAGCAGTCCGAAGCCTAGCAACGTCCCCCAAACCTTCGAGTTACTCCACGCGTAACTGAACCCACCCCACTGCAGACACAACAGCAAACAAACAATCGCACAGATCAGGAAAACAGCCCCTACGATATCAATGTTCTTCAACCGCTGCTTCACCGGTAGATGCGAGTACATTCTCTTTGGATTCGTAAAGAAGAAGAACACGACACCCAGCGACACCGCACCGAAAGGAAGATTGATCCAGAAACACTCAAAGGTAAGAAGTCAATATGCGACTCACATGCACTTGGCCATTTCAAAACTTACCATCTCCACGACGCGCGATCCGTAAGCGCACCACCAAGGATAGGCCCAACAACCGACGCAATACCAAACATGGATGAAAGCGCAGCAATATATATAGCCCTCTTCCTCAACGGCACCGAGAACCCAATGATCGTCATACCCCCCGAATACAACGCCGCAGCCCCCGCGCCCGCAACCGCCCTTCCTACGATGAACATCGCCGAACTAGTCGCCGCGGCACATATAACGCTGCCTACTTCGAACAACACCAACGCAGAGAGGTACGTATACTTGACATCGAAGTACGTGTACACTTTTCCGAATGAAGGTTGCAGGGACGTGGTAGTGAGCAGGTAGGAAGACCCGTACCAACCTACATCTTCGAGGCTGTTGAAGACGGTGGTGATGCGTGGGATGGCGGTGGCGATGATGGTGTTGTCGAGGGCGATTACGAAGGTGGTTAGGCAGAGGCCGATGGAGAGGATGGCTAGTTTGGGGCCGTGCAGGTATCTGGACTCGTCTTCGGGGGTGGTGCCGTCGGCGGTGTTTTCCTTTGCGATGGCTTCTGCGTTGCTTTTTTCTTTGTCTGGGTGTTCGGGGTTGACCGTGTTTGGTAGTGATGCTGGGGGTGGCGTGGTCTTTTCTGGGTCGCGGGTATGCGCTTGGTCGGTCGTGTTATCGTTCGCAGACGCATTCTCAAAATGCTCTTTTGTCTCTGCCAATTTCGGTTCAGAATCTCCATGTACTTGTGCAGTTTCATCATGCGTGCTTGCGCCAACCGCCATTTTCGTAGTATCGGCCGCCTGCATACCGGCAGCGGGCCCGGCTCAACAAAGAGAGGACTTGCCGTCTGCGGGCCGCTGTAAACTATGTGGAACCTATCAACGGGTATCTAGTGGGTCGAATCAAACAATTTCGCGGCAATGGCATGTATGTCGCACAGAATACCGCGCCGTCGCAAAGTGAGGCGAACACAGCAAGGAGCAGAAGCTTCGAATAGCAGCATCAAGGCAGACCACCACAACCTTTTGTTTCTATACACAACCCCATGATCACGCGCCGCAATCAAGGTGCAACCCTTTCGAGCCGTGCGACCGTATTCTGTACGGTAATTGGGATGTCAGATGGGCATCTGCAACCGAGGACGTGAGTTGGGGCGCGGGACGTTTGGATGCCGAGGGGGGTGCGACCAATGGAAAAATTCACAGTAATTAGCCTTGTGTAAATGAACACCGTTGGGTTCGGTTGGAATTGCAGGTTGCAGATTGCAGAGGCCGTTTGCATCGTTAGTTGGATATGTCTTCGTGAGCTGTTGTTGGTCGTTTACGGCGATTGCGTGATGCGATGACATCTTACTGATGTGCTTGGCGCATGGTATTGTGCCTATCAACCATACATAATGGGCAACCAGAATGCTGTTGTGGTAAGGAAGGAGCGACGCTGCCGTTGCAGTCACGGTTGTGGTGCTGTCTCGCGACTTCTGTTATCCTCGGCTAAACACCCCAACCATGACGATCGCCCACCACAAAAGTCTAGAGCATCCTCGAATCCGAACGCGAGCATGTGTAAAGGAACCCTTGTCTTGGAAGGTATCCGCGAACGCAGATCTGGGGTCGGGTCGCTGTGGGTATCATGGTGGGCGTGATCAGCCCGGATGGTGGGGTAGCTAGGGCTTTCCTTTTGCGCGAGGAGGTGCTTCAAGCTTCATCCTTGACAGTTTGGGAAAGAGCGCTGCGGGCCGTTTCGCTCCCGTAAGTGTGCCATTGGAGGACGTCACATTAGGACGGAAGTTGGAAAGATGGTTATGAATGTTTGTATATTGTAAGTCTAATGGTTGTGATGTATGTGGCTGGAGGGAATAACGGGGAAGATGTTGGATACATGTGAGCGTAAGAAATGGGTGGGCTAAGTAAAGATCCTCCTTCTATAACTCGTCTAGCCCGGACATACAGCACAAGCCGTCTCGACCTTGACGGTGGCAAGAATTACGCCGTCGTGGCCGCGTGCGCACTTTCGCTGCGAGATCTGACCCTTGGGGCACATTTGCTGGAAGATCATCTGGGTGTGTCCGCACTTGTGGGAGTAGGCGTGGTAGAAACACATTGTGAGTTTGTGTTTTGCGTGACGTTGGTAATGACCGTGAAGTTGAATAGCCTCGTTGTGTGGTGGATGAGATCGTGTGGCTCAAAGTCTATTTCATGGTCAGCAATGGTACCCTTCCAAAGTACACTGTGACCTTGGCGAGCTCCCGTCGTGTATCTTACCCTGAAGAGAGTTCGGATCGGACAATGAAGGAGCAAAAGAACGTATGCTGAGATGATTGACAGCGTGATACTGTTGGAACGAAAGTGTTGGATAAGAACGCTCGATAGAAGTCCAGATGACCGATGTTGTGACCATCTCTGTCGTATGCATCAGCTCTTATACCACGGCACATGCGTTAATAGGTCATAATTGCATGATTGCTATCCATTGCTCAAGTTGCGCGGTTTGACATCCGCGAGCAACCAAGCAATTAGAAACTCATCCGTCTGGTTGAACAACCACGGCAAGGCGTTTCGAAGACTAAGCGGATGCCAGTCCCGCAACAGTAGCTTCCCAAAATGGTTCACGGCTTATCGTCGACTGTTGGCACTGAGGTTGTACTAAGCCATTTGATGAGAAATGTGAGCATTCAACAGGTGCAGTCAGCACCTACGCTGAAGATGCTGCGCCAGCGTCGTCGCACAATCAATGACGGGCGGCTCCGGATAGGCGAGCACGAAGCAACTGTTTGGCTTACTCAAGTCCCACGAACCCATACTCGTCGGGAGACAGCCATACTAAGTGATGACCAAACATCAGATCTGACAATAGCGAGATTTGCTCTTCTGGACTGGTGCAAGGGGGCGAACATCATCGTAGTTTGTCTGATTTGAGGATCGGAAAATCGCCGCACTGGTTCATGTTTTCCTCAAACCCGCCGTACCGTCGGAAATCAACCGACATAACTTGCGACGTTTGGTTCCGCTGAAGTTTGCGCAATCGTCGTCGTGATTTGCGGCCACCTTGCCTCGGCATGTCCCGGTCACACAGCGCTGGAATCCCAACCGCTTCAACTAAGTTGCGGAGCTGGAAGCTCCGACATACAATCTAGTGCCGTCATGGTCGTAAATCAAGAAGGCTGGCTATCAGTAGTGCTCTTAGCTGCCGACGACATTAGGCCAGCATTTTGGAAATTCCAGCCAATGAGCATGCGGCCTCACCGCCAATTCGTGTGGAGACTTTCGATGCAGATACGCCGCCAGATCCCGCAGATGACGAGACGATAGCTCGGATCTATCAATGGATGCTAGTTTCTTGGATGTAAAGATGGTGGGTAGGGTTCCCAATGGAGGTATCGGGTCCATGTCGCCTTCGAGGCTGGGAGTCGCAGAGAGATCCACTCGGGCATATTGCTAAGCCTGCAGGATACATGTTGACATGCCAGGGACGCCCGTCTACATCAGTGTCTCGTCAGCATGCATCGTGCTAGTCCTCACCGTGGGGTAGAGGGCCCGAGTGACAACGCAAGCGCATGCTGTCCGTGGCGGAGTTGGAAGCGCCATGGTTAGGGCTGTCGAAGCGTCTCTTGCGGCAGACGGACAAGTAGCATGATGGCATACTGCACCCCACCCAGCCGTGGAACGATGCGCTGGCAAACGGTGTGGTTCATCTGAGACTGCAGGCGAGGCACAGGCGTGCATGGGCGCGTTGGCGAGGCTCTCAAGCGGGCGTGTTGGAGAGGCGTTGACGTCGAGCAGGAGAATAAGTGAAGGCAGCTCTAGCCAGGGTGCCAGCTGGCAGCGCCCCGTCTGAACTATTAACGGCAAAAAGGACATGCAGCGACGTGAGCAGTTTAGCGGAGGAGTTCGACGCTTGACACGTAGCCCACCATAGCTCGCCTGTCTGCAGATTGACGCAGGAGCTGCACCTGCGTCTCCAGCAGGCCGGATAGAGTGCGCGGGTTACTACTAGCATGCGTTTCCTCAGCGTTCGCCCTGCCATTTCCTTTTTGCGCCGTTGGTGAAGTTGTCATTTTCGCATCGCGACGGCCGCCCGCTCCCTCAACACCAGGCCGAGCGCAAGGGTCTGCGCATCACCAGAAGACGCCCCGCCGCCTGCCCTGAGCGCGATCGAACGGCTATCCGAGTATCTCGAGGCATTGCAAGTGTGCGCGGCCCAGTTTCGCTTCCTCGGCGTCCCAAACAGCTGCACTGACCGCTGCCACACCGCCTGCCGACGTCACGGCCCTTAAGACGGTCGCATTGCCTCGTGCGCGCTGGACGAGGAAAGCTGGCTTGGTCGCCATGAATGCGCTGTCCACGGCCTCGCACCCTCAACATCCACCGCGCAATTGACGTCTGACGTCTGCTAGCCTGTCGCAAAAGGGTCTCGCAGCGCCTCACCTCTTGCGCCCCCCCATTGGCTCCGCCATCACCCCCGCCGTCGAATAAGAGCACGGCACCAGCCCTAACCATCGACACCGTCTCGCCCTATCCGTTTCCAGATATCCCGATCGAGGTGAGCCGTTGCTGCTTCCCATCATCTGGAAGCAAGACTGACAGTTGGCCAGACAGTTCATCACTCGTGGCGCACCCACGACCTTCTGCCACCGCTTCATCTTTCTGCGCCCAGCATTCTTCACCAACGTATATCTACACGTTGTGTCATGATATTCGCCTCCATCGCAATCGCCTAATTCAACAAATCTCCGAGTAGCGCTTTCCCACTTGGGCCATCACGAGAATCGACCTTCACCCGCGCAAGGGTCGTGCACGGACGTCCCGTCGTCTACCGAAACACATCAATTGGCCAGCACGCGCTGCACCGGTGCCAGAGCCTCATCTCCAGCGCGGCATCAGCGCGCGGTGTCATCGGTCAGCCTGGGCCGGGCTGCACTGTGTCTATCTCCAGAGGATACAGCGCAACGGTCCGGGTTGGCGGTAAAGGTTAGTGCTCCATGAGTCGCGCATTACCATTCACTTCACGATCAACTTGTACTTGGCGCAAGCATTCGTCTGAGTCCTTCTCATTGCCAAACCCATCACCAATCCGCCTTTCCCCCGGTTGCATCTCAGCTTTGACTTACGAACCATCCAGACTACACCACTGAACCATGGCATCTCTGGACTTTGACCAGAAGTTCCTTGGTCGGATAGCTAAGCAGACTGAAGAAACAAGTCCATTCCTGTCCAGCGCTCTCTATCAGATCCTGGGTCTGTCAGTTCTCCTGGCCCGGAGACTCATCCGCGCTCGGAAGCTTCGCAAGCTGGACACCAGTCGAGACACTCCCTCACTCTCGGCCTATCAACATATCCTCTGGATGTCTCGAGAGGGACTCTCCATACTCGAGCTATACGTGCTGCCCTATGCGCAGGACAATCAGCATGGGCCAGAGTGCAGAGTGTTGAGCGTCAAGTTGCGCGCGAGCTTCTACCACATCTTCTGCCTCTTCCACAACCAACCGCCCGTCACGACAATGAACATGACAAGCACTGATCCTCGCAACCCTGCTCTTCCCCCTTTACCAATATCACCACCAAAGCATAGTAATGGACATGGGCGCAAGACCGACCCCCCGGGCTTGTCACCCCCTTCGAAGCGCGCAGGCAAACAACCAGCATTACGCGAGCCCATCGACTCCATCGTATCCGAGACATCCTTCGTCACGAATCCTTATGCAGCAGGAGGGCCAGTCGGAACACCATCACCGGGACCGACGATCAACGCGCCTCCGGGCCTCAACCCGGTTCCCATTCCGCAGCCTTCCTCCTTCATACTTCCACCCCTGAACTTCGTTCCGTTAGCTAGTGGGTACTTCACCACCGCCACTCAGTACGCCACCTCGTTTCTTCCTGGCTCTCATCCACTGCGTTTGTCGGTCGCGCTCGAGCACAGCGCGTTCTTGTGGGATTGTGTCCACGACCATGATGCCTCGCGGCGCGTCGCTCGACGTGCAATCAAGGATGTCTACCGCGCGCAAGAAGCAATGGATGACACTGAGTTCGAAGACGCTGCTGAGCTTGTGGGTATCCTGGGCCGCATGATGAAGCGCAAGAGTTGGGAAGGTACGCCACGCGTCGGAGGCATGGCGAGCCCCGAGCCTGTCGCACGAAATACTCCACAAGCAGCTGGTGGCAGATCGGAGCCAGCAACTAAACCTCTTACTCCTCCCAAGATTCCCAATCGGCAAAGCAGCAGAAGAGCAGCAGAAGCTCCACCACTTACGGACCCTTCCACACAGGCGCACTCAACACCTCCTACACGCAGTCGAGCAAATACAGCCAGCAAGTCTGTGCCTCGACAAAAAGAAAGCAACGGCCACGAGACCACGCCCAAGTCGACGCCACGACGGCGTGCGGACAGTGACAGTCGCGACACCACACCCCGAAACCGGCATGTCAGCGTCGAAAGCGGTGCCAGTACAACACCCCGGGCACCGCAGGGAGCAGGTGGCCGCTCTCCCGCGACACCATCGACGGTCCGAACCGCGCACCGAACCTCAGGCAGCGGCGGCTCCTCAAAAGGAACACCCGTCGCGGGAACCTCAACGCCCCTAACCCAGAGCGCGGCCGCAACACTCGTTTCGGATAACATGCGCAACTCGCCTTCTCTGCGTCGCTCACCCCCAATCCAACAACCACACTCCCCCTCCTTCCCCTACGACACGCGCCTCTCGCCCTCGCAGGAAAGCTCCTACGCAAGACAACAGAGGTGACTAGTAGAGACGGGTCGGGAGAAGCAAAGAAAGATGGAAGTGCAATGGACCGACTCCATGCATGAAGCTGACCTTGTGCTCCTGCCCATGACACAGCCAAGCTCGGTTTCGTCGACTCCGATTGACTTCGCCGGTCAGACGTACCCTGAGTACCCGGCTCGGTTTCGGCCTTGAAGTTGCCGTTGCCGTCTATCGGGACTGTAAGAGGCACAGTGTCGATTGATAAGAGCGCAGCATCTTCCATCCATCCCTTCCCGTCGCAGAAGCTACATACGTCACGTCTCGTCGGCTCGTGGAGCCCAGACCTCTTGATACCCCCATCCCCATCATACTACCTCATCGCCTCTTCCGCATCTCTCTTGTACCTGTATCATACCTATTGGCGTTTTCTCGGCGTATATACCTCTTCAACGACATACACATCCGTCCTGTCTGTTGGACTGTAGCATATCGGATACCAAAAGTCGCCCTTTCGCATCTTCCGGCTCGGCGGCAATAGTGCATAATGTCTTACTCTTCCAACTTGTTTTTCGTTCGCGGCGTTTCATTGGGTTGCCAGTTGCTTCGGCGAGCTGATGATACCACGGCTGGGCATATGTGTTTGGAGGTTCTGTCACGCTGATACGTAGTCAAGACTTTCCTGTTGATGTGTGCTAGACATTCATAATTTACGTCATTTTCTGCTTTCAACACGATGAGTTTGTGAGATACAGCATTTGAGGATATGCAGGTGATGTATACATCATCTCATTTCTTTAGTGGCACACCACTATATCAAGTTCTCGTCTACACACAAGATCTCAACCTTAACACTCCACTCTCGGTACGCCCCACTCCTGCGAAAAGCTCGACGACCAGATCACGAACACCAATCAAGCCATCCGCTCCATACGACCAACGAGCAGCTTCCGAATAGCCTTCTTCTCCTCCTTACTCAACGTCGCCAACATCTCAACCGTAATAGCCTCCTCCTCCCCATCAGGCTTAACCTCCGCACACACACGCTCCATAAGCGCCATCTTATACCCCAGCAACTTCTCCTCGCCCTCCCCTTCCACCTTCATACCACCACGACTCGCAGCAGCAGACATATCCCCAACGACATCAGTCTTCAACGCCTCCATCTTCTTCTCTCTAAGGAAAAGGTTCCGCCTCTCTTCCTGCCTCTTCTCCAGGTCCGTAGCGTCATCGTAGGCGGCTTGAAGCGTTTGCCAGGCTGCGTAGTCTTTGTCGGAACGGGTTTCCTCATACCGCTTCTCCATTGCGTGGCGCAGTTTTGCTAGCTGGGCTATCTTGGACGCTTCGGAGCGGATCCAGGCTGAGCGGATGGGCTTCTGGGCGTCGAGACGGGCGCGGGCTGAGGGAGAATGCTCGTACTGACCTTGCATGGAGGAGAGGGGTGGAGGTGGGATGGGGAGGTTTGAGCGGAGGGGTGGACGGGCTTGGAAGCTTGGTTCGTGTGCGGAGTGTGGGTTTTCTGTAGAGGCTGGGGTGGCGAAGCCGGATGTCGCGGGCGCGGAGGTGGGCCATGTTGGGGTGAGTGATGTACGAATGGGTTGGCCGAACGACTGAGATGAGGGTATGAAGGGCTTGAAGGTTGACTCAGATGAGGGTACGAAGGGCTTGAAGCCGCTGCTCGTGCGAGTCTCAGATGGGGATGGTGTGGGTAAAGGAAGTCCACACACAAGAGTACTAGACGGGTGATCGACAGGCGTAGTTCTACGCGTCTGAACATTAACAAACGGCGGGCGGTTGAATGATTGAGATCCGGTGTCGAAGCCACTGTTACTAAAACGTAGGCGATCAACAGATACCATGCCCACGAACTCCGGAGACTTGGGATCCCAGCTAATCCCGTTGTTACTGCCACACATCTGAATGCCAGCCGGGTTGTGGAAAGGCGGCCGAGCACGTCCATGCATGCCAGAATTGACAGATGGCGGACGAGTGCCAGCCGGTGGGACAGGCCAACCAGGCGCACCAACTCCACACATACGAGTCGTAGACCCCGTGCTGACTTGAAACGGCTTATGGTCGACGAAAGGATCAGTGTGCTTTCGCGCATGTCCAGAACCGTTACTGTACGGCGAACTACCTAGAGTCAAGTTCCCTTCTTCGTCTATCTCAGCGCTTCGCGGGTATACGTCGAACTTGGGCGAGTCTATGGAGCCGCTGGATGCGTAGCGCTGCACAGTAGGCGAATGTGGAGACGGGGTGTTCTCCCAGGCGTTCTTTGTATCCTTGTTGCTTGACTTGGCATTCCCGTACTTCATCTGACCGCTCGTGGGGAGACGTCCGTTCGGGACCGGTGAGAGCGACACATTTCCCACGTCTCCCTCGTGGAGCTGCTCTCGCATACGTCCAGGACCCAGCGGTGACGGTATACCCGGTGAGCTTGATACTCTAGCATCGAGCCTTCGCTGATGCAGGTTCGGTCCGCGCGGCACGATCATCTCCTCGAAAGGCATGTTTCGTGGAATGGGGAAGCTTGACTGCAAGAGGGCGGAGCTACCGAGGGCGGTCATGTTCGAGCTCGATCGGAAGCGTGCAGAGCCTTCGGACTCCTGGTTTTGCATCTGCGCTGGAGGGGACCATATGTCACCTGAGTTGGAAATGCCCTGCCTCGCTGGAGTCTGGACTGGACCGCCGAACTCAGATCGAAAAGGTGACTCGACCGCGACGCGAGCGTGAGAATGGCGCTGAGATAACGGTGAGATATCAGAACCTGAAGACGCAGAGCCATTTGTAGCACCCGTCTCTGATGTCGCGGCGCCGGTGAAAGGCGTCGGAAAGAAGGTGTACGCACTGCCGTCCTCGGGATCCTTGTAGACGTTACTCAACTTGACAGTAGTATCGCTGGCAGGTGACTGGAAAGCGCTGCCGCCTCCGCCACCTCGCATGGTGCTTTCGGGGGAATCTTGAGTCTCTTGAAGGCTGTGGTTCAACGTAGGTGCGCTGTAGTTACAAAGGTCCTGGAAGGAGGGTAAGTTCATCGACTGGTTGAGTGCGCGCTGTGAGCTCTCCAACGCGCGATCCCATCTCTGCGCCTCGAGTGCGTTGAACGACAGTTGTGTTTCGTCGATATAGTCGTTTGAGCTGGAGCGCTCGGGTGGTGGTTGGCGACTCTCCATGATTGTTGCGGTGGTCGTGGTGAGTCAGTGTGTGCGGAGAGAGATTGGTAGGCGCGAAAGTGAGAGGAGCTCAAGGTAAAAATATTCGGGCGGTCATAGCTCAAAGTGAGAGTCGGCCAAATGCGAGTGCGGTGGCGGGGAACTGTGAGCTGGGTGTCGTGGTGAATGTGGATTGAGATAGTTACGGGGAGTGGTGAACTTGGAAGGCAGTTTCGCGTGTCGGAGAAAGAGCACTTGCGCACAACGTGCTTCGCGAGATACGTCACCATCAAGCGAAATATGCACACATTCGGCTGCTCAGTTCTTGAAACAAAGATGCCCATTGCTAGAGAAGACCTCGTCAGATGGGTGTAATATGCAACTCGGAAGTCGTGAGTGGCTCTTCTACTCGGCATCGCTGCAGTACCATGGGGGGAAGTGATAAATTGGCCTCATCGATTATGGAGTCAACAAACTGCCATATTTGTCTCTAGCGACGTGCCCCAGTCCGATACTGTGCCCTAGCCGCCACTATAGTACCGTATACCGTATTGTATCGAGCCTGGTCCTCAAACCGACCTCACAATATCGGATGAAACGGAGGCGCAACAACCCCATCTTTCACCACCGATCTCGGAGCCAAATGCAGAGCCTTCCTCAGCCTTTGCGAAAGGCTCCCCTTCTTTTCTTCTTTCTTCTCCGCCCCACTTCCGTCTTTCACCTTCGCCTCCCCCTTCCCCTTCCCCTTCATCTTGAACTTCTCCTCCGGCGCTACTGGAGCATCCGAGATATTGCGAACCGGCAAGCGAACGATAGGCTTTCCCTGCTCCTCCTTCTTCTCTCGCTCTCGCTCCTCAACCCTACGCTCTTCCTCCAGGATAGCCCACTCCTCTTCTAGATAGATCATCGTGTCCTTCTTCATCCGTTTCTCTTGCTTTGGCGAGAGTCCTGTCAGACCGAACATTGACAAGTACTCGTCGAGAATTGTTGGCCACATGGCTTCCATGAATGCTTCCTTTGCCTCTTCTCGCTGCATCTTCTTGTTGTCCGACCCCTTAGCTTCCTCAGTGTTGGGAATGACGAGATGACCGTCTCCAACCCGATCAGCTCGCCGCGTCGCATTCAATCTTCTCTGTCTTCGAGAGGGGTCATAGTGGACTGCAGGACTCCGCGTCTCTTCAAACCAGTACGGCTGCACGTTTCCAGTCACACTTCGTGCAAGGTCGTACTCCGGGTCGCTAGCGACGCAGTTGAAGCCTCTGAGGTAGATGGTTGGGGCTGGTTGTGATGGCGATCGACGACCGGGGACTGTGGCTCGGCGTGAGGGTGCGAAGGATGGGAGTTCGGAGGAGGAGTCTTGAATCATGCTCGGGACTTCCGGGGTCATGCTTGGTATCTCCGCCATTTCGACGCTGATGAGTAGTATTGTCGGGTAAAAGTGTCTTGTTGGAGCTGGATGCCTTATTGTCTGGTGAACGTAGGAGATGAACACGTAAATGAGATGAAGTGCAAGAAGAATGGGAAGAGAAAGGGTCCGAATTATCATGTGCAAATGTTTCGGTTACCCTGTGCCAAACCATGGTTCGGATACATCATACTAATTCCACGCTTCTTGTTTTGTTGGGACTGGAGGGTACCTGCGTACTATGGATCCAGGGACGTCGCGGGCTAGTCGTTGGATGTGTGTTCGTAAGCACAGGGGTCTTGGCTGGCTGAGCAATAAATGAAGGGTTTTGATAGTGTAAAGACACGTGAACAGAAACAGTCTGCAGCCAGTAATGCGCATGTCGGTAACGAGTTTCGAGTATACTGGCGCGAGGAGCCTGCGTAATATTTCCCATTTCACCTAGGTATCGCATGATTGTGTCAGTGATCTATGTCGGAAGGAATCATCGCGATTTCTCTCGACGTAAATCGCGATGATACCTTCCGACATAGATCACTGCCACAATCTCTCGTGCCAGGACCCTCGCGCACTCTTTCCAGATCTACGCCAACTTCCCCGGTACAAAAGGCAGTCCCCCACTCAACCCCCCATCCACAGCCCAAGCCTGCGCATTAACATAGCTAGCCTCATCACTAGCCAGGAACAGCACCGCCCTCGCAATCTCATCCGGCTGTCCTCCTCTTTGCAGCGGGTTCAACTGACCAATCTTCTTCTCGCTACCCCTCTTCCTCGCCGCGTCGTACGTGATCCTGGTCATACCAGTCTCGATCAGCCCAGGGCAGACGGCGTTGCATCTGATGCCGGAGCCGGCGAGTTGGTATGCGCACGTCTGCATCAGACTGATGACGGCGGCTTTGGACGCGGAGTAGTCTGTAGGGCCGGCGTTGGAGCGTAGACCTGCTACGCTTGCTGTGGCGATAATGCTGCCCTTTGGGTATGGCTTCTGATCTGAGGTCTTGAGCATAGCGCGCGATGCGTGTTTTGCGGCGAGGAAGACGGATAGGGCGTTTGTGCGCAGGACGTTCATGAAGCCTTCTGTTGACTCTTCCCAAAACACTTTACCGGATGATATTCCTGCGTTGGCGAAGAAGACGTCGAGGCGGCCGTATGTGTCTAGGGCTTCTTGGCAGACCTTCTGTACGGATGCTTCGTCTGCGGCATCGAATTGCCGGATGTGGACTTCGGTGGAGGGGTAGAGGGTGTTGAGCTGGCGCTTGTGTGTCTCGAGATGGTTGTCGGCAAAGTCGCAGACGTAGATTGCGCGGGCGCCGTTGCGTGCGAATTGATGCGCGCTTGCACGGCCGATTCCTATCTCTGAGTTCGCACCTAATAATGCTGTTAGACGTTGTCTTTGTATGGGAAGTGCTGGGAATGGCGGGCATACCAGTAACGATGATGACCTTGTCTTTGACGCGTCTACATACCATTAGCACAAGCGCGTCACCTACGGCTTACGGACCCTCCCCATACTCACTGATTACCCAGGTCCCCCGCGATCTCTCTGACACCCTTCAATCCCTCAAAAGTCTCCGGCTCGGGTAGAGGTTCGGCCAGCTCCTTGCTCATTCCCTGCCGCTGGACCTTTGCGACTGCGGTCGGCATCGTGGAAACTTCCTTTAGGGGTATGGGACGAGTTCTGAGGTTGAATGTAACGTAGTGACTATGAGTGTCACAGTCGCGTGTGCTATGGAGATGTTGAACGGGTACCTAGTAAAGCTTGCGGAGTTGGTTGCGGAGGTTGCAGAATCCGGGGAAGATGCCGAGGCAACTCCAGTCGAGGCTGGGTACCATAACGTCATCGGCACAGCAATTCTTAGCTACATCCCGAGGTCATCTTTGTAGCACTTCCACATCCGACCAACAATTCTCTGCAACGCTGGATGGATTGGGTTTTCAAGCTCTGGGTACCTGGTGCCTGAAAGGCTTCGAGGAACGATATGTGCTGGCTCTACCTTCGCAGCTATGAACCCGCGTCGCATTGGGCGTGAGCCTTTTAGCACGCTTGTCGCATTCACGACAACCCAAGAGCTGGACCACAGTGCGAAAGAAACAAGAGAACCTTAATGTTATATTCAGCAGGCGAAGACGTGTCCGTGGGCATCTCACGACATCCTTCCAGAATCTGCTTCTACTGATCGTGTGCTTCCCCGTCCGGCTTGCCTAGGCACAATTGTCAAGCAACTAACCCAGATGAACGGCTCGACGTTCCCGGCCACAATACGGAGACTCTCTACTTCTTCTACGCCTCTTTGAATTTCGCTTCATTCCAGACATCACCATACCCCATCCCGCCTGAATAGAATTAGCAGGTTGCCAAGCTATCGTTGTTCCCCACCTACCAGTGACTTGATGGAGTTCCTGTTGTACCGAGTAGTATAAGTTCTCCATGGCCTTGACAGTCGATTCGGCATCTTCACCCGTGAGCACCAGCTCCCATTCGGCCAATGATGCAGGTGTGGTATAGACGATAACTTCAGCGATGTAGCGCTCGTTCGGGGGCTTGAGTTCACCGCATTCGAGAACGGAGGTGATAACCGAGAAGGTGTTTTGGGAAGTGGGGTACGAATGGCCGTACAGGGCGCGGACTTGGTCTACATGGTGTGTTAGTGGAGGCGGGTCGTACAAGAGCTAGGTACTGGTACCAAGAATCATGCTCTTGAGCAGCTCAATGGCCTTGAGAGAGTCTAGAAGCGAAGTCGTTGATAAAATTGGCGCCATTGCGAGCAGTAGGTGATGATTGGAGATAACGGGCGACTGAGGTGTATGGAGCAAGAGGTTGAGTGTTGAACGCGTGGTCGTTTCCGGAAGTCTTGGTGGTCGCTAAGTGCTTGTAGAGGCGAAGGTAACCGAGCAAACGCATTGACGTAAGATAAGGTGAAGCAGCCCATTGTCGCTATATTGGGAAATACCATAGTAGAGTTATTCGTAGGGCCTTTCTACCACGGCCATTCATTGGTGTTCCAAGTGATACTATCAAAGATGAAAACCGTTGGCTATAGCTCCTGTCCGCCTCATGGAGTACTTCTGGCAGCTAGATGACACGGTCTTAACATAAGAGAAGAGACACCTACCAAGCGTTTCCCACCCATGGAACTAGCAAACTGTGCTTTGAATATACATGCTGGTTCTAATAGATACTGAGAAGAAGTAGAACTGCCGTGTACCACTTCAGGGCACCCCATAGAATGCTTCTGCTGCCTAGTGCCGTCTACCATTTGCGTAAGATGCATTCGGATGCATCGCTTTGATGCAGCTTAGTAACGAAGGAACAGATTTGTCTGCTATAGGCTCGATGAGATCCATTAACTCTTCGGCTTCTTCTAGCGTCAGTTTTAATTTCCCTCTGTGCTCTGCGGAGAGCAATATTTTCAGGGCCCCGATGTTCTGCAGCCTTGCGGCTTGGCCGATAGGCTTCATCCACAGGGCGCTGCCTCCGTGGTTGATATCATGGACATCATAGCTCAAGAGAGTCTCCAACGAGCGGGTTTGATAACGCTCAATAGCATGTTTTAAGGGATGAATTCCGAGGAACTCATGTTTGGGCGCATGTGGATCGAATGCCTGTTGAACGTAGTGTCTCCAGAGTGCGAGGAAAGCAAGATTCGCGTTGGGTTGCGTGGAATCGGGCCCTCGCTCGATCATTGGGCAGTACAAATCCATTAGGTACTTGATCGCCTGCGTACGACCATTGGCTATGGCCGAAAAGAAAAGCTGGGCAGACAGAGTTATTGAAGCATCCGATGTACCGTGCATTGCGTCGAAGCCTATCTCGTTGATGAAGGTGACAACGTCTAATCTTCCAGGACTTTACATTTAATGTACTAGCACTAGATAACCTAGATAATCTAAATAATTAACTAAACAACTTATTACTTATAATAGCTACTTAGCTATTACTATAATACCTCTACGCATTTTTATCTTTATTCTTTATAATAATCTTATAATCTACTAAAATAGCTAATATTTACGCTTTTTAGTCTATATCTATAAACTAACTATTTAAAATATTCTACTCTACTTAAGTAAGCTAAATACTAAGTAGTTAAAGTTACTAAATAAAATTTAATACTACTACTTTCTTAGTAATTAAGAAGTTCTTAGCTACTTAGTTTATACTTATAAATATTAGCTATATTTATATTTTATTAAGCAGAAATCTAAATCTTAAGTAGTAACACTTATAGCTTAAAGAGCTACTAATTCTAAAAAGGTAAGAACTATCACTAGTACTCTAAAGAACGTATAACTAAATCTTTTACTTACTCTTAGAAGTATAGCGTTAAGTAAGCTAAGGCTTAGAGCCTTAGCGCTACTACCTCTAAGGTAGTTAAAGCTTCTAAATCTTTTAGGCCTACAAAGTAGCTGTTCTAACACTAAACACTCTACAAGAGAATTATAATACTAAATATCTTATAAGAGAACTCTATAAGAGAATTACAATCTAATTACACGCGCTTATTAGCTTAATATTTATATTTATATTAGTATTCTTAGCGTATATATTTATATATTTTAATACTTATTAAGAATAAAACTATACTTTTAAGTATTATATAACTATTTAGCGTATAGCTAAGCTTTAAAAAAAAATACTACTTTTAAAAATAATAATAAGTTAGTAATAAGTAGCTTATAATCTTACTACTTTCTTAATTATAATAGTAGACTTTAAGAAAGCTAAAAGTTATAAAAAGATACTAAGTAGTAGTAATTTACTATTAAAAGTAAGCTAAGTATTTATATAAAAGATAGTAATTATATTAGTAGCTATAGTTATATATATATTATAATTAAGAAGTAGTACTTATAGTAGTTACTTTTTATATTTTCTTCTCTTTAACTTATATTTATATATAGTATTTTTATTTTTTAGTTACTATCTACTTTATCTTATAGTACTATAGTAACGTAGAGTAAGATAAGCTACTTATAACTTTTATAATATTAATAACTTTAATAAAAAGATACTCTTACAAATAAAAGAAATCGCAAGTATAATATACTAATCTTCTAGGCGGTTAGAGCATCAGCTACAGCACTCCAATGGCCTCTTCGTTAGATTTGATGACTATTGCGCCATTCTTCAGCATTTTCAACAGGCTCTCTGGATTAGCGCGGGATACATCAGGGAGATCTGAGAGATGCTGCAGTGCGTACGGCTTTGCGTAATGTTGGAAGAGGAAGTCATCCATGGTCGGCGGTCTAGGTGACCTGAGGTTTGGAACGAAGGTGTGCGAAGCATCAAATTTAGTCTTCTTTCGTGACCGCAATATCTTCAGAGTCGCAGCCAAGAGACCATTCTCTGCATGTTTCGTAGACTCCATGACATGGTCTGGCAATGCTCCTACGTTGATTACATGCGGGCGAAGAGCAAGCTCCGTGCCAAAGATGCCGTAACCAAGGTATGTGATAATGATCGATGACATCAGTGACTGCGCTTCCTCCATTGTGAAATGGATTCCGCGAACCATTTCTGGGGTGGTGGTAGTGTCTTGGAGCAAGAACAGGTTCACACTCGGATGAACTGTACGTATCGTATGTTCCTCCTCGTCGACGGTAATAAGGCACCCACAACTCGCTAGTGACGGATCAACACTATTAAGAAGCTTGGAACGGTCCCATGCAGTGTTGCCTGGGATAACGCTTAGTGCTTCTCGCATTTCGAGACGCGTGAGTGGCCGTCTCGCAGCCAATATAAGCTTGAATATGTTCGATCGTAGCGCCTGGTTAAGACAGTTTGCTTGCTGTAGTATTTGGCTGTAGATCTCTGGAAGATCTTTGGGCAAATTGACGAGCGCTCTTCGAATGTCGTGATCGGTTTGCATCATGCAAAGCGACTGGATCTGAAGAGCAACCCAGAGAAACATATGTTGCGAGCCGTCCAATAGCGCATTCGTGATCTCAAGAATGAGAGCGGGCTCACCCAAGACCAACTTCTTTTTCAATATAGCGGCCTCTAATTGCGCTTCGACGTACGTCTCAATATCCGAATCGTTATTGGGAAGCCGGATAACAGTGGCTTTCGAGAAGTCTTTAGCGATAGTCTGCAGCTCGGTATCAGGTTCAGATTGCTGGTCGGTATCATGTTCAGACTGCAACTTGGTATCAGGTTCCAGGCGGCGAGAGATACAGATATGTACGTTGAAATGCGTCGCCATAAGCTCCAATTGCTCTGTGACCGTCTTTCGTTCTGAGGGAGAACATATGTCCAGACCGTCGACTATGATATACAAGACATATCCAGAAGGGACAACGTGACGCATTAGACCAAGGGGCTGAGGAAGATCATATAAATTCATAACCTGAGATTCATCGAGGAGATGTTCGAGTGGGCTGATGATCTGGCGTAGGAGTGCGCCCATGATCGTTTCTGCGTGTTTGCTTTCAGGAATATCGTGTCGGCAGAAGAAGTATGCGAGTCCGCAAGTCTTGGGGTCGATGCGCAAGTTGAGATCATCCACCATGTTCGCAAGCGTGACAGATTTTCCATATCCCAGTTTCTCAACCAGAACCAGGGTCTTTGAGGCTGGTGCCACTATCCACTGGTTGTACTGAGGCAACTCCTTGTACAGGCAGGTGTTCCCAGCTTTGCGGATCTGTCTCCATGGAGTCTCGTAGTCGTAGGTTGAACAGCGATTCCGAATCTTTCGAAGAGCAATCTGCCTTTGCCGTTCAGAAGCTTTCTTAAAGCTGGAGCTCATCAATGCTCTGAAGGCCGAATTATTCTTAGCTTCTGTTTCTATCGTTTGTGCGACGAGGGTCGTGATCTCTTCTTGAATCGCTTTTGACCAGGCTATAAGACTTGATCGCAGTTCTTCGATATCGCTATCATTGAGCGAAGATACGAACTTGGCCGGCCCAGACTTCTGTGTATACCGATGAAATCGAAGACATATATGTACTACAACTATAAAGAACTCGATGATGTTGGTTTGCAGATTCTTTGAGCGAGGATACAGCGCTGCCAAATTTGAGTGTTGTTGGGTCGAATGGCCAGCTTCCATAAGAAGGGAAGACAAACGTTCGATGTACTCCGAACGCGCAGTAGCCGCCTAAAGTCATCAAGCGGTTAGATTGATCTCTGTAATGCAAGAAGTACTGAGGAATGGGTTCTCAGGCCTCGACAACGAATCCGAATCCGAGTCCGCGAACAACATCGATGTACAAGACGCACACGTACCAGTAAGGTCATCCGTATCGCTGTCCATACACCACACGCGGCGACATTCTGGGAACTGCCTACAACCACATCGCCAATAGCAGCAAACTCTTGCGCTCCATGGAGAAACTTGGAAAACCGAGGTCCAAAGCAACGCTCTCCCACTTTTCGCGAAGTGTCAATTCCTGCGGTGATTCGCATAACGTCTTTGGGGCCAGGGGGAGACTTGATTGTTTGTTCCTTCTGGGTCCCAAACGTGCGCTTTTGTTCTTTCGAAAGGCTTGCTTCAAAATCTTTCAAAGCATTATCCAGTCGAATCTCCGGCTTCAGAGGAGCCGCCGCGGCAAAGTCGAGGGCCATGGTTGGTGCCATGATGAGAAGTGACAAGCGTAGTGGCAGAGAGCGCGAGGCTACGAGTGTTTGGAGTGGGGTTGAGAATCCGAGAGATTGCTGAATGTCCCCAGAAATCGTGATTGAGGGCGTGAAGATATATGCTGCGGAAGTAGTCACCACCTTAGTTCGGTTGAGGCCAGTCCTGCATCATTCAGCCCTCAGCCGCATGGAGGCGCTGATTAGCCTCCACAACGAGGCGGGGTAACCACATCCTCGTGCCTTTTCTTTTGCTGTGCTCACGAGCCATATTGTCGAGGTGAAATTGGAGAAGATCCTGGAGTATGCGTGTGCGAAGGTCTGGATGGAAGGAGCCGAGACAGCGTGAAGACCCGAATGACTGAGGTCACCAAGGGAGGACTCTCTGTGATACGATTCACAAGGTGTGTCTCGGTTCGATATAGCGACAGTCGGAAGCATGCCAGCGGTTCAGCCTTGATCCATGCCGGGGAGAGTGGTGGCTGGTCATGGACGCGTCTCGATCAAGATTGAGGTCCACTATCGATAAGCCCAAGCACGTGCCATCGCGACCCTCGGTTTTCGGCGCAAACCATCATCGCAACCTAAACATTTCTGCCTCCAACGCTCACACCACATACCTCACCCTCCCTCAACTTCACCCACTGCTAAACGCCCAATCACCCAAAACTCTATCCCACGCAACACCACCGCGAAAATGTCGACCGCCTACAACCCCCAGCAAACCACGGACCCAGCAACCGTCAGCCAAATCGACGCAACCGCGCGCACTGTGCACTACAAGTGCGGCGACTGCGACATGGACGTCCCGCTGAAGCGCGGAGAGCCGATCCGGTGCAGGAACTGTGGGCATCGTGTGCTTTATAAGCAGAGGACTAACCGGTAAGTGAAGCTTTCGCTTTATAGATGGAGCGGGCAGGGAGAGGGTGAGGAAGAGTGAATTTGAGAAGAGGAGAGGGCAAAAGAGCGGACGCGTGCGACCCAGCGCATACGGAGAGTGAAGAGCGCGAAGGAGCGAGAAGGAGGAAGCAAGAAGCGGCAGGAATGCGTCGGTCGCGCTACAGCACAAAGACAAAACCTGGACAGCACACTATAGAGGAACAACCTCGCTAACTTAACATCTAGCATGGTCCAATTCGAAGCCCGATGAACGCACACCTCCCCAACTCTTTCAACGAAACAACACCACACGGCGGAACGGCGAGACGGTGACACGAGAAAAGCCTGACGATATCTCTGCACGGATAACAGGCGTATGCAGGAGTAGGAGAACCCGCGACGGGATAGTTTATGCATGACAGCGACATTTGCACAAGGAGGAACACAAGTCAAACAGGCTATGTGAACTTCACATCTCAGAAAGCATTAGTACAGGAGTTTGATTCGGATATTTGAATGCAGTATGGAGATAATAGCAGCAATTCCAGACTTCAAACCATCACAAAGTACGTCAGCCACCATGACTATTGTTACACGCTTCATTCTTCATCCTTGACGCAACTTTCACTTCAACTCTAGTGACAGAGGATCAAAAGAAACCTTTACCAGCCATTACTCCATTCGCGCGCTGTGCGCAAAGATTTATGTAGTATATGGTTATGATATGATGTGACAGTGGTGCGTGCCAGCCAGGACACTTTCCTTCCCATTCCAGGCTTCATGCTATCAAAAGGGAACGGCAGATAGACGGAAAGCGAAAGTTCTCGACCCCAGAAATCCCGACCACTCCTCCCTAAACACCCCCATCCCTCTTCCTTCATCCTTCATCAACCTTTCCAGCTAAACACCAATCTACGACCCGCGGAACGCGTCAAAGCGCTTATACGTGTACCCAATAAAGGGCAGACTGGTTGCATACTCGTCTTCGTTTGCCTGTGCGGCCTGCGCCCTGTGAGCAGCCGAAGTATCATTCTGGTCAATCTCGTCGATGGGGAAGTATTGAGTATCGATGTTGGACTGCAGTTTGGGTTCAAAGGGCGCGCGGATACGGCGGAGACCGTCCCAAGAGACGCCGCGGAAGAAGGGGTGCTGTTTGATTTCGTTGGCGCCGCCGATGCGACCGAGGCGGTGTTCGGCGTCACAGATGAGCCTGGACGTGTTAGTTAGTGGGATGATCTGGGAAGATTGTGTGGGATAGAGGCGCTTACCGTCGGACAAAGTCTTCAGCTTCGGCGCCGAGTTGCTGGTCGGGAGGGAAGTGCAGGTTACGCGGCCAGTCGACAATCTTGCGGTACGTGTCGTGTGGCTCCTCAGCGCAGAACGGCGGCCAGCCGATCAGACACTCGAACATGATTGTGCCTACCGACCACCAATCACAGCTGTAGTCGTAACCTTGACCGCTGAAGATCTCCGGCGCAATGTAGTCGGGTGTACCGACGGTCGAGTAGGCGAGCTGTCGACGAGACTTACGCCATGTGTTGATTTGGGTACGGTTGCTGACAGTCAGTTGAATCTGGTCTAGGTTCATTGATTGTCGGTTGTCGCGGTTCGACTTGTGTGCGCCGCCAGCGAGCAACTTCTTGTAGTAGTTGGCGTCGTGCTCCTTGTGGAAGCCTGTCGACAGACCGAAATCGGTCAACTTGATGTGGCCGCCTCGGTCGAGAAGGATGTTGTCGGGCTTGATGTCACTGGGAGAGTTAGAACTTCGTCTTGTCCCGACTACTAAACACATACCGGTGTATGAAACCAAGCTTGTGGACGGCCTCTATCGCGAGCGTGATCTCGGCCATGTAGAATCGTGTAATGTCCTCGGTGAAGATTTCGTACTTGATCAGCATCGTCATCAAGTCACCACCTGGCAAGAACTCCATAAGCATGTAAAGGAAAGTGTTGTCCTGGAAGGTCGTGTGCAGCTTGACAACCCATGGACTGTCGGATTCGGCGAGAATGTCACGTTCTGACCGTACGTGGGCCAACTGGTCTTTCTTGAACTGTGGCGTGTGAGCTTAATGCTGCAGGTGGGTATCGAATGAGGACTGCCTACCATCTCCTGCTTGACAAGCGACTTGAGCGCGTAGATCTTGCCGTCGTTGCGCCGTTGCACCAGCTTGACCTCTCCGAACGCACCCTTACCGATAATCTTCAGTGTCGAGAAGTTTTCGGGCTTCTCCTTTGTCCGCAGGAAGCGCAGGTATTCGACTTCGGCGCGGCGCATGCTGTCCTCCTTGGACCGTTTTCGGCTGTCAGAGATGGAAGTCTCCTTCATAAGGGCATCGAGTTCGAGAGCTCTGCAACGAGGTCAGTAATGCTCGGCGAAGAGTCTGGAGATCCCACCTTTGATTCCGGTCGCGAGCCCGCTGGACACTATCCTTGAAGAATGTATTGATGAGACTCTTGGATACCATGGCCTGCTTGTCTACATTCTCAGTGTACTTGGTGGGGTTTCGTTGCGGCGCCTCTTCATCGTACAGCGAGGGCTGTCGGGGCCCTGAGCTGCCGCCCTGGCTTCCATAGCCATAGCCTCCTCTGTTGTCTGCGGTGCGAGGGCGTCCAGGGTTCGGGGAGGCTTGTCGGCCGTAGGGGCTTCCAGAGCGACCGCTGCCCCCCAGGTGTTGGTGCGACAGTTGTTGGGCGAGGCCATTGGCGCTCTGGTCGAAGCGCTGGCTGCCTGGCGCCTGGAGGTTGCCTTGCTGCCCTTGGTATTGTGCCTGCTGGTAGGGATTCATGAAGTAGCCTCCGCCCCCGTTGTAGCCATTGCCCTGTTGCTGCTGCTGGGCGCCCCAGACTTCCTGCTGGCCGGCCTGGTTGGGGTATACAGGTTGCGGGAACGTCGAGGGCGTCGTCGGGAATGCTCTGCCGACTTCCTGCTGGTACTGCTGGTTGTTTCGGTCACCGCCGCCGAAGCCAAAGTTGAGCTGCAGGCGGTTGCCTTGCTGGTTGTTGTTCATCGTGGCGGCCGCAATCGCTTCGGAGGGGAAGTCGGTGTAGTCGTGGTGGATGTTGGGTGTCAAGTAGCGGAGGAACACCAAGTCCAAGTCTGGGCGGTGGAGACGGCTGGATTAGGAACAGTGACAATGCCGTTCTCTCACGGGCGTCTTAGCGGTCCACGGCGACTGCAGAGGATTCTTCAGTGCGGCGCTGGCAAGGAGAGGGAGGTGCTGGGGAGTGCCGCAGTAGCTCGGTCAGGGATAACAACTTTAGGGCGAGCTGGGACCACCGGGCGGGGAACTGTGCCAGCAACCCAACACATGTTTCAGACGGACTCGGAGGATTGCAAGTTGGGAATGCATCTCGATACTCCTACATATCTAGGTAGATGGTATCGCATTGCATAGTGAGCATGAGGCCCCCTCTACCGCCCTCCGCCTCCCCTCCACCTCCCCCACCCACCTGGAACTGTGCCAGCAATCCATCTTACGTTTCATACGACCCGGAGGAACGCAAGTTAAAAAAGCATCTCGATACATACCTGGGTAGACGATGTTCTTGCAGTTTAGTCAACATGAGACTTCCTCCACTGCCCCTCCGCCTCCCTTATGCCAACGCCTTCCTGCGTCTCAGACACACCCGGCCGAGTCGAAGCATGTGCTCGCCCATGTCGGTATTCACCTTGCTTGTGCCGCCTGTCCGAAACGGATCAGGACGGTACGGATCCGACAGCCTGTCACGCCGTTACTGTACCCCGGGACTCGAAATAACGAACCTATCATCAAGCTATCGATAGTGAACCTCCCGCCCAAAGAGGCGCACGTTACACAAAACAAAGGCAGCCACACGAGGAAGCAGCGTGGGTAAGCGACGAAAAACACAATTGTGCAACATCGGGTAACAAATTCAGAGGTACAAGCACGTTGTCATTCAATAGTCCGCAAGTGATGTAACACGTCCAACCATCATCCATTATACCATTACAGTACAATTACCATCGCACTTCGCTAAGCGAGGGTCACATAGGGCAATCCAAAAAGAACGAGCAGGCAGAAGCCCCCGAGATCTCAACAAAAAGTCCGCCATGCAAAGGTTTGTGTAGCGCTGAGAAAACGCTGTAACCATCGACGGGTATAGAACATTGACGACAAAAAAAGCGTTGTCCGTCAAACAAAAGTGTGTTCCGGTCGGTTGGGACCGGAAAAGTATACTAAGACAATATTGAAGGATGAAAGTAAAGTGTAGTATGCGTAGGATCGTGAGGCCCATGTAAATGCGGGAGCTGGGTAAAACGCCGAAGATGTAAAAAGGATGTCCCAAAGACGATACGGTGGTATCGAGGATTTTGTCGAAAGGAAGGTATTATGTATAGCTGTTGAGTCCAGCGGGTGTCGGTACGATCATTATGCGGTCGTGGCCATCAGAGCCTTGACCTTTTCGCGTTCGGCGACGATCTCGGCTTGCAGTTTTCGTGTCTGCCTCATAGCCTCATCCCTAGAAACATGTTAATACGTACTCGTTATTCAATGTATTGGATTGACATACCTCTCGAATTGCAGGTCGGCAACCTCCATCTGAGCAGTGTTCATGCGGCCAACGACTTCCTCCATCTCGTGATCGGCATCGCGAAGAGCCCTCTCGAGCTCCTCTACGCGCTTCTCAAGCGACTCCGTCTTGGTGGCTTCAGCTAGGCTCATGGCGGGTCCACTTGAAGTTACGTCAAGACGAGGAGATCGTTGCGAGAAGACAGGGGACGATGGAAGCCTGGGGGAGAACGCCGAAGGACTGAGGAGTCCGGACTTGACACGGCGCAAGTGGTTGGTGTGGCTCTCCTTGATAGCCTGAACCTCGTCTTCGTGGCGCGCGACAGCGTCTTCTGAAGACTGTTGGGCGAGCATGACCTTGTCTTCTGCTGCCTTGAGCCTCTTCTCCAGCTGGATGATTTGCTCTGTTGACCTGCGTTGATCCTGTTCTCCGCGCATGATCGCGTCAGTAAGACGTTTGCGGAGAGCGCTGTTGGCAGTGAGTTGCTGCTGGATCTTAGCAGAGAGCTCGTCCATGCGGGTGGCTGCAGCGAAAAGCTCCTTGCTAAGTTCTTGTTCTCTGCCCAAGTGCTCAATCTCGGACTGTTGAAGGGCACGAGCCTGTTTGCGGTACTGCTCGGCTTCATTCTGCGCATAGTCGCGCTCTGCCTCTGCATCGGAAATGCTCTGTTTCAAGAGGTCCAGAGTTCGTTCAGCTTCGGCACCGGCAGCGCCAAGTGCATCTCCGTCGCTCGACTCAAGTTGCTTAACGCGAGCAAGCGAAAGGGCATGAGTAGTTCGTAGCTCGTTGTAGGCCTTGTCCAAGGCCAAAGGTTCGTTTTCTATCCGGATCTCGGGTATCGAGATGTCGTGTTCTCGGAGCAGCTCGCGAAGGGAGCCAGTTTCTTGCTGTGCACGATCCAGGTCCATTCGTAGTCCACCAAGACCCTTCTCGCATTGCCACTTCTGTTCAAGTGCTTCGTCGGCTCGGCGGCGTAAAGAGTTGACTTCCTGTCTGAGGACTGTAACCTCTTTGTGGAACGCAGTCCGGCGAGGAGTGAGGTTTAGAGCAGCGTCCCTCTCAGCCTCTACCTCTTTGATGCGGCGCGCGAATTCCTTCTGCTGCAGCTCTTGCCGTTGCAAGATATGTTTTAATGCCTTGTGGAGTGCATCTCGTTGCTCTTCCAGCTCCTTCATAGGGTTGCTGACTGTCGGTGCACCGACTGGTGATACATCACCCGATCTGTCCTTGACAGAGTTGGAACGTGATAATGAGCCTCGTTTCGAGTTGAGGCCAGCGGAGCTACGGGCTAGCGAGTTCGAGCGGGTTAGACCAACTCGTAAGTTAGGTAAAGGGCCAAGGTCTCCTTCCTCTTGGATAGACTGGACCCGGGACTGTTGTGGTGCTTGTTGTTGCATCATCCTTTGCTTGACAAGCGACTCGTTCTCGGATTTAAGTTGTTGAATCTCCTGTTGCATACGAGTAGTTTCGTACACGAGCTTTTCTGTGTCGGCAGCATCTCCTTCGAGCACTTCAAGCCGCGCCCGGAGTTGCGGTACCACTTCGTCGCGCAGGTTGTCGGCCTCGTTGCGATGCTTTTCCAGTTCATCTCGTAGTGCCGTGAGGAGGTCTTCGAAGTTTTCCTTGACCTGCCTTTCTTCAGCCAAGCGCCTCTTCGCATCCTCAAGCGACATGGAGAGCTCCTTGACTTTGGGTGTCTCAACTACTGAGCCAGCCCTTGACTTGTCGCCGACCTGGTCTTCGAGTTGTTGCACCTGCTCCTCTAAATCTCTTCGGCGTCGCAGCTCATCTTGTAAGCGTTCTGCCATCTGCATTTTTATTGTTGCACGCGCCTGTTCGGCTTTCCTTCGTTGCATCTCGACCTCTTCGAGCTTGCTCTCGGGATCGCTGATCGGGAAGCGGATAGAGCTTGTGCCAGAATCTGAGTAGTAGTCGCTAGTCCTGCGATTGTCAGACATGGCAGTGGAACTCTCTGCCTTCCACCGCTCGACCTCGTCTTCTAGCTCCATCTCTCTTTGTATCGAGGCAGCAAGCTCGGAGCTGACCTCGCGCAACTCGCGCTCCAGCTCTTCTACGTGAGCGTTCATCTGGGGCGATGACGATAGGAGTGGAGTTCCGGGGACAGTAAAGTACGAGCCGAGCGAATTGGCGGCCGGAATATCTAAGCCGTTGGGTTTTGACTTGGAGCCCATGCCGGGTTGTCTGTAGCGTGGAGAGTCGGGTGATGAGTGTTCTGAGAAGGCTGTGGCTGGCGACGCGGGCTCGTTTTGGGGACGCGAGTTCCAGCCAAAGAAAGAGGTGAATCCTCCTCCGCTGGGTGATTTGGGCTTCGTGTTTTGGCGTGTAAGTGAAGGGTCCTCGGGACCGTAGTTGTAGTCGTCCATGAAATCTTCCGTGACACCGTTCAAGTCGAGTTTTAGGTCTGGCGGCGGTTGCGATGCGTTGTTGTACACGGGCATGTTCGGCATGGTAGGGGATCGGGCGTGTGCTCCCCGGATGCCAAAGGCCTTCAGCGCCTCGGTCTTGCTCTGACGTTGGAGTTGGATGCCGCTGGCCGATCGATCATGCCGCGCGGCAGACGGTGCGGTTGGGGCGGTCGGGGGTGCTCGCGTTGCGACGAAGAGCGAGCTCCCACGATCACGTTCTGAGAATTGGCGGGGTGCGGTTGCCGTCAGAGGGGTCCTTCCATGTGGGTTGCTGGTGGTGTTGTTAGCCAAGTGTCGATGAAAGGAAGGCGCGATGAAAAAGGAAAGCGCGCATCGGGCACTCACTCGTCGAGGTTCCGGGGCAGGAAGAGGTCTTCGTCAGTGACTGGCGGCGACAGCACGGTGTCGGGGGCGCGTCCTCTTTGAGCAGCGAGATCAACGCTCTTATCAGGTGCAGCAGCGGATGGGATGTTAGATTGTTGATCGACAGTAAAGCGACCAACTACGGGGGAATTCGCGGGAAGGGGCTTTCTGCGGACCGGGGACTGGAGGACGGCGACAGGCACAGGTTGCGAGGACTGGGACCGAAAAGCAGCAAAGGACGAGATGGCAATCGAGGCCAAGGACGAGCCCTTTTGGCGAGGCGGCGAGGCAAAGGCGTTGGGAGCATGTGCGCCCTCGGGGGACGCTTGGACGGCTTGCATATTCTCGTATTATCCCCCCGCGATACACATGGCGTGCACAAATGATGGGCGCAGAGGGAGGTGGAGAGTCTGCCAAAAGTCGCTTCTTCGTAAAGGGGACCCGCCTAGCTCGCCAGGTACAGCTGCCGGCGAAGGGGGCGCCCAGGGGCCTCTGAGCCGATCGCAGCGCTCGAATTGGTCGATTCGGGCGCTCTACCTGACCGTGATGGGCGGTTCGCGCTGCTCGAGGTGGAGCGAGCCGCGCCAGGGGGCTTTTTAGGGTTAGGATGGCTGCAGGTACACTTTTTACCCAGCCAATGGGCGCCGCGGACTAAGGGGAGGCTCAAGAGGGCGCCTCGTCTGTCGTCGTGGGGAGTGGGTTGCGGAGTGTGATTCGGGGATACGCTCAATTGCAGAGTGGGTGTTGACATCTCAGAGTCGCGCGCTCCGGTCGAGTTGACGTTGACGCCCGCTGCCCAGGTGACGTGCGGAGGCACCTTTGCCTGCGACGTGAAACACTCCATGAGGCGCTGAACCACCAAGACTCGATCCCAGCCGTCACCATGTGCATAGCGACTGCAACCCTGCCATGTGACACCCGCAACGGGTGGCTTGCAGTGGATTGCATGCGACTTTATTTTGGCATCGCGCAATTTTCCGACAACCACGGATGTATCCAAATGAGGAAGCCAGCACGCTAAGGGGCAGCTGTACTGGGATGTGGCTGATATTCGCCTGCCGCGAACGACGACAGTGCTCACGACGACGACTCATGACGACCAGTCCAGCCTCTCGGCCTATGCTAACGGCGAGGATCCTTCTTATGGAGGTGACGAGGCCCCTGAGATGCAATCTTAGATTCACAGCCGGCTGCATATCTCGCCGCCTGAATCGCATGTGCTGATGCCTTGACTCTCAGGCATGCTCCCGACTGCCGACGCCGCATGACTATCATGCCATGGCAATTTGACATCTCCACACATACTGCGACGCTGCGTGCGTGGTCTGATATTAGTATTTATAATTACTTCAAGGTGGAGCGCTCATCGCCAGCCGCCGACACGGCCTTCATCCCATCGCTCCTTGCGCTCTCCTCGCAGGTAGGCGATCTTTCGGCCCTCCCTCAAGCGCCTCACAAAGTCCGTCACTTCGCGGTCGCTAGCCACGGCATCCCCACCACCGAAACCTTCGCCTTCGAGGAAGCTTTCTTCCAGTCCCCGACATAACGCCTCTTGCTCGCCTACTGAAGCACTCAGCCTCTGATAGAGTGCTGGCGGACTGAACTCTCGCAGTGCCTCATCTTGTTCAGCCTGCTTTGCCTTCCACTGACGCTCCAAAGCCTTAAGTGATAACAAACGCGATTGTGTGCTATCTCGTTGGTGCTGGACATGTGCTTCCAGCTGTTTGAGTGACTCTGCCAACCCTACATTCTGTGCAAGAAGCGCCTGCAGAGGCGCAATAGATGCAGGTAATGATGGATGTGTTGTCTCGGGATTGTGAATTATAGCATTTTGCAGTTCTGGCGTCTGAAGCACATGATACAGGTCTTTGGTCCTACTCATACCTTAGTAGTGCGCTTAGCTACGACGTAGAGTTGGCATACGGTTTGTCCTTGAGCACATCAGGCAGCCAGCCATCGTCTGGCGGTTGAACCATCGGTTGTTCGGGACCTGCCTGCGAGTACTGCTGTGTATACGAACTCTGTTGTTGATCTCCCGAATACGATGATTGACCTGGCGGGGGTGGGGGTAATGGAGGTCCCTGTGATGGAGTTGCATTCCCACTTGACCGTCCTGGCTTTGGTGGGGGCGGTGGAGGGGTTGATGCATCGTACTGGTAGAAATTTTGCGAGTGGCGCGGGGAAGAATAGGCCATGATGAGTGATAAGTGGTGAGTGGAGGTAGTGGTTGCATGTGATGCTTACATAGTACCTGCGTAGGTGGTGTTGCCTGTGCTAGCGCGTCATTGGGATTCGATCTAATCTTATCTCATCAAGACCCCTGCAATGAGGCCACAGCAGCATCAACCAACTTTGGGGCACTGTGTAGCTGTGGACACGTCTGGACGCGCCTGCTCATACTTCTGCCTACACAATTCTCTCGCCGCCTTCAAACACCGCCTCGACCTCCATTTCATCCACCACCATCTATCGCAGCTGATCTACAACAAAAATGGCAAGCACTTCCCCACCAACGCGCCCAACCTGATCATGTCCGCTAACTTGCGACTGCCGCTGTAGGCCAACGTTATAGCGAACTCTGGCCACGATGACATGATTGTACGTTCTCTACACACATCCGCCTCTATCTTCACCCCACATTCGCACATCCCACACCACCAGCCAGCGCAATGGGCGACATCGACCCACCCCCGACCGATTCTAACGAGGTACAGCATGACGCCGTACTGGATTACTACGGCAGGCGGCTCGCGACGTGTTCTTCGGACAAGACCATCAAGATCTTCGAGGTTGAGGGCGAGAAGCACACACTGGTTGAGACCCTGAGAGGGTATGTCGTTCCCGAAGAAGTCATGGTCGTACGGGACTCGACGCTGACATTCATAGACATGAGGGCGCCGTCTGGAGCGTAGCATGGGCACACCCCAAATACGGAAACATCCTCGCCTCCTCTTCGTATGACGGCAAGGTCCTCATCTGGCGCGAGCAGTCCGGCAGCTGGCAGAAGATATACGAGGTCGCCCTACACACACAGTCGGTCAATATGGTCGCATGGGCTCCTCACGAGGCAGGCTGCCTCCTTGCCTGCGCATCATCTGACGGCAACGTCTCGGTGCTCGAATTCAAGGACAACAACTGGACACATCAGACCTTCCCTGCTCACGGCAATGGCGTAAACAGTGTTTCTTGGGCACCTGCCTATGCGCCGGGACAGGTCATCGGCGCAAGCGGAAACCAGGCAGGCGCTGCGAAGAGGCTAGTCACCGGCGGAACCGACTGCCAGGTCAAGATCTGGGAGTTCAGCCCTGAGAGCGGCAGCTGGAACGCGACACCGCTGTAAGTCATGGTCGCGAATCGACGATATGGGGCATTGGCTGACATTATACACCAGTGGTGGTCATGCAGATTGGGTACGCGACGTCGCGTGGTCCCCCACCGTTCTCTCCAAATCGTACATCGCCTCCGCATCCCAGGACAAGACTGTCATTATCTGGACATCATCAGATCTGCGCGAGTGGAAGCGCACCCAACTTGACGTCGACGCTGCCGCGTGGCGCGTGAGCTGGAGTCTGAGCGGCAATGCGCTCGCAGTCAGCACCGGCGACAACAGGGTCAGTCTATGGAAGGAGAGGCTCAGCGGCGGATGGGAATGCGTCAAGACGATCGAGGAGTAGAACATCTCTATAAAAGACAAAGCAGAGCCTGGGACTTTCTTGCAATACCCCGTACGTCTCGGCCTCAAATTCAGGACCGACCAGTGGCCACCATATGAAGACGACGGGCCGTGGTGTACTGAATACGGGTGTTACCAGTTCACTTACGAACAGTATTGATGTAAGAGCATAGCACGAGGGCATAGTGTGATGTATAGGTGTAACATGAGCGTAGCCTTCAATTGATTATAAGAATCGTCGCCTTGCCAAAGCTTTACGTGAATTGCAACAAGTCTTTTCCAATGGCCTCGCTCAGTACGTAAAGTGACATGCGACGTAGCTACTGAAGACTGTGGACCATGCCAGCACCCCACATATTGCACTTACGAGATGAACATACCAAAGGGACTGCAAGACGGATCAGAAGCCTTGGTCATATTAAGCCACATAAGTCTATTCAAGAGCGGGCGAATGATCACGACAGGAACACGGGGTCCTGCATGCGATTCGTCATGGCCGAGTGGTCAAGGCGCTATGCTCAAGAGATGCCGTTATCGACGGTTTTCTCAGAAGATGCCCGATATGGCATGTGCGAAGGGCGCTAGCTTCAGCCTCATCGCCCAGGTGGAGCTGACATCTTGACTTACATACCTACACTGTTCCACTTCACAACTACATTGCGCATCCCGATATAGTTTGTCATCTTCCGTAAGGGACGATTTCCGCTGCGGCTGTCTCGTACTGAGCTTGTGTCTGTCTTCCGAGCTTCATCGCACCTGCACGTTGGTGCCTTGACGCTAGCCTTCTACAGGACAGCTGCCTAACTCCTCACAAACATCATCCAATCGCGACCAACAAGTATCATTCTACAAACCTTGGGAAGGAATATAAATCATGGCGACAGCGGAGGTTTACCAGGAACCCGCTTCCTCTCCTCTTCCTACAACGCCATCACGTTGTCAAATGTCTCCAGCTGCCGCGATGTCAAGCACACCGACAACACCAACACCATCTAATCGTGCCAGCCAGACCACCTTCACTCCGGTGCAACTCGAAGCGCGAGCAATTCTCACGCACCTCCTCACACGCCTCTCTCAGCTCCCAGCCTCTTCCAACGATAACGACAAACCTCACCCTTACCACAAATACGCCCCCTGGATCTCGCACCACAGCATCGCCACTCTCAATCAATCAATCTTTTCCCTAATTCGTCCGCAACTCTGGCATCTCCTTTCCTCCCGCCTCTCCCTCGACGCCCTCAAGCATCTCGGCGGGGATTTGCGTCATGAAGGCCGCGCCATCTACCTCAACGGCATCTTAGGTGTCGACAAAAGATTGAGGATTTATGTCGGCCAGAGTAGCAATCTGCGCGTGAGAGTGGCACAGCATCTCAACTTTAGGTATCGGAGAGATCATCCGAGTCTGCATTATTACGCTCTGGAGTGGAGTATCTATAATGTATTCGGTGTACTGGCCGTGCTTCCCTCAGGTAGTTATGGCAATGCAGTACCGGGGATGGATCACCCGGAACTGATGTTGAATGTATTGGAGATGTGGATGTGTCTTGTGTTCCGGACGTTACCCGAAGACACCCTGAAAGAGTGGCTACCAGACGATGTGCTCGTCGATAAGAAAAAGTTGACGGCGAAAGAAGGTGTTGTGGGTGGATTGAATGTAGCGAGTCCACTTGATCAGGGTGTAGAGATGAAAGAGAGAGAATTTGTGGATTTGAGTGAAGAGGACGATCCCGTGATACGGGCCTACCTGAAGGAAATGCAGAGGAAGAAGGGTGATGGACTGATTGAAGAGAATGTGAAGGAAAGAAAGACGAAAGATGACGAAGTGGACGAGGAAGAACGTGCGCTGAGGAAGAAGATGTACGCCGAGAAAGCCCGGAGGTATCAGCGGATAGATACGGATATCGTTGTTCCGCAGTGGGTTTTCCTTGGTGCCATGGCGGTGGGTGTGGGAATTATGCTACTGAGGAGTAGTGGGGGACCGCAGGCTAGAGGAAGCTGGAGATGAGGTGAATGGCGCCTTCTTTCCTCGTTTTTCGTCTGAGATGAAAGCAACAAGGTCCACGTCGAGCATGTCAACGTTGGCGAAAGGCCAACTACTAAAGCGCCCCGCAGATGACCGTCAGTGGAAGTTCAAGCCCTAACATACACGACCAAAGTCACTCGCGAGAAAAGTCTCCAGGTTCGAGCGCGGAAGCCAGAAGAAGCGACCCGTAAGGTTTCGTCCGAACAAAATGCGATCGCTGCGGTAAGCGACCTAATTCACCAAAAAGCTGGTCACCACCCAACGCGTCGGGATAGGAGACATTCTACAGCAATTCGATTCCGGAGCAATCCCTACGTCGATCCGCAGCATTTTCAACATCACAGCTTCTACCGCGCCGCAGTGGCACAACTAGGCTTCTGCAACATGGCTCAAGACTGCTTGTGTGTCTCTTCACCGACGCACGATCTGCTGACGACCATGAGACTTCGAGCCGTGACGTGAGCCAAAGGCACGGACTTGTCCTTATTGCGCAACCAGAGCCCGACACCGGGCGGCCGTCCGCTTGGGTGTTGAAAGATCGCACTCGCTTGGGTACTGCGGATCTTCTGAACTATCATCCGCGTTATACCTCCCTTCGATCACCACGCGGTGCGTGCGAAGGTTCTAGTTTACAATTCAGATATTACTTCGCCAGATCTACTCATGATCACCGCAAGGCGTGCGAAGATGGGACGATCCAATCCAGGTATTCGGCATCGTAGGAGTGTACTCCGCTTCCCACGCTGAAGACGGATAGCACAGCACGGATCACATGCTTCCGAGCGGCAGGCAGTTGATCAGGCAAGGGTCATGGCAGGGGCGCCCTTGACGATAGAACAAATTCGAGGCCTTCGACTGCAGACCTCAAGTCATGTGCTTCCCTTCGACCCTGGCGTGACGGGAGCTCCGAGATCTAGAGCACAACGTGGGCGCTGGAATATTCCAGGGAAGACTCAAGACAAACAATGCAGGCGAGCTGCCACAGGGTAAAATAAGCTTCGGTCCGTTTCTTAGCGTGGCTTTATCCCCAGATTGAACATTGAAGGGAAACATTCCGACCGCGCCAGGCGAAGCGATGCCACTAGTACTATTCCGTGCCAACAGCCTCGAAAGGTTCAAGATACAGTCGCAACATCATAGGTCAGATTCCAGGGTTGTCAGGCTTCTCCGTTGATCATGGCCACATAGAGCGTTCTAGATAGGCGTCCTTCCCCAGGATCGGATTAGACTATGCCTTTCCAGGCCACAAGCAATGCCTCTAGGCTTACCAGGTCGAGCATTCTCAGGCTTACTTACTCACGGGGACTTGGAATCCGACATCGCCTAGAGGCTCTGCAGACATGCTTCCAGATCCAGCGAGAGCAGGGTGCTCTTCAGAGCTAGAGACTCGTCGGAGGCTGGCTGAACAATTCTTCACCGTCGTCCTACAGCTCAGTTCTTCCTGTTTCTGGCCACGACCAAACCTTTGTGGCTTGAAGTTCTAACTCGACGAGGAAGAAGAGGAGAAAGGTGGCTGTCGAGATCGTGCAGCTAGAGTTCAGCTCCTCATTTCTGCACTGCAACATACCGATAGCGTTGCTTCCACCGACCTCAAGGTGCCGAAGGGACTGAGTTCTAGAGCGACGCGAGAGGGCGAGGAGAGAATAATCTTGTCGTACAAGATGTATATAAGACGCTTTCGAGAAACGTCTTGTTGTTTTCACCAGAGCACTTTCTGCAGCATCTCCTCCATCGACTGAGCCTCCAACACTTGTACACGTTCACCATGCGCTTCAACAACGTAGCTGGACTTGCCCTGGGCCTCGCCATTCCCACTGGCGCCCTATCCGTCCCTCGAAATGTAGCTCCTGAGCCTGCTGGCAAGATCGTTGCGCAGTTATTCTGCGACATTATCGGTGGTCTGGTCACTGTTGCAAAGCAACAGCCCCAAGCCACGAGCTTCTGTTCTTCTTACCTCAAGATCCCTGTAGTCACAAAGACTTCTACGGTGACTTCCTTCACTGCGTACGTTAACACTACGTCCATCTCCACCGGCATGATCTTTCGCTCACAACAAACAGGACCATTACGGCAACTGCAACGATCACTTCGGGATCGACCACGACCACCGATGCAACCAACACTATTACGGCCACTGATACTGCCACTGCAACGGCGTCTGCCACGATCACCGAGACGACGACAACGACCGAAACCATCAATACTGTCGCATACTCTTCAATTACTGCATGCGCATCCCCAGGAGCTGTACAGAAGCGGGGCGCCTATGTCCCTCCGAAGAAGCCTTCATGCTTCAACAACTACATCGAAGGCCAAGCTCTCTCTTCAGCATGCAAATGTCTTGCGGTGCCTACCTCTAGCACGACTACCACGACAACCTTGAGCCTTCCCACCACCATCACAACTTCAGTCACAGTAAGTCGCCAGCAACTCGACCAACCCACATAATTCGTTCCTAATCAACACCTCCCTCAACAGGTACCCCTGACCGTCTTCGCAACCGTAACCAACACCGACACCGCAACCATCACAAACACCATCACCGACACCGCGACCGAGACCTCCACAGTCACGGAGCGCACAACCATCATCACAGGCACCCAACAAGTCATCGCGATCCCCACCTTCACCGTCTACGCCATCGGCGGCGACAACAGCGGAAACCCCATCGGTTATGCCGGCGGCAACACCGTGGGCAATGCGCCGGGTCTCAGCCCCGTCCTCCAATTCACCACCGTCGACAACAACAAGCTGCAAGTGCTTAACGGGCCGGATGCCGGGTCCATCGGCAAGACAGATCCCAATGCCGCGGCTGTGAACGCTTATGTTTTCTTCGGTAATACGGCGAATGGGCTGCAGGAAACGGTTTGCCAGGTTACTTACAATGCTGCGGATGGGACGTGTCCGTTGGAATGTGTGGCTGCGAGGGGGACGACGAGTTATGATTGTGGTGTTTATTGGAGGATTGCTAGTGATGC